TTAGATACTGGAAGACAAATTACTGAACGGTTCATGAATCATATGCCTCTGAAACGCATCGGTCCTGCAGCTTCTGCTTCTTGCTCAGCCCAAGATGCTAGGATGGATCTTGGTGTCCTAAACCAACTCTGCTTTGTCAAATGATTTGCCTGACTCAGGAATCCTCCCTCCACTTTGCTCATTGTACCCTTCCCCTCCCCGGTTTATACTCAGTATAACTAACAAGGCTGCTGAGTACGTGCCTCTCTACAAAGTCTTCTTTGGCATGGGCAACACTCCAGGAAAAAAACAAAGCACCATGCAGGTTTAGATTTTCACTGTGCAATGTCCAGTGCTAGGTGCAGTGTATTCACATCAGCCAGGATTTGAATCCACTGAATCTTACGCCAAAACCCTGATTGCAGACCTGCCTTTCCTCTGACCACAGCCTGGCCATCACTAGGATTCATGCACAAGACTACAGCATCCTTGCAAGACACAGCTGCAACATATTTCTATCCTTACCCAACCCAAATCTCCAACTTCAATTACACTCCATAGCCACAAAGGAGATGCTGAGAAAGTGAACGTGGAAAGCAGCTGTTTGCACAGTAGGTTTGTTCATGGTGATGCATGGGCTGCCTTTAAGGATGTTGTACATTGCACTTCTTCTGGCATCAGTTCTCTCAGGTTCTATAATAGCTGAAGAGTGGCACTTCTCTGCTAGCACCCAGTCTCTGATTATATTTATCTTCATTTGACCTGAAATGTGGAGCTACATTATTCTGTTTATTCTGTTGGAAATTTCAAGTAAAGGAATGCCTCACAGAGATTTCTGCTTCACAAAGGCATGGGAGGACACCTCACATCCTCTGTGCAGGTCAGAAGTACCGTGGGTTGGAGGAAGCTATGACTCTTTTAACTTTGCATCATGCTTTTTTGTATCAGGAGATACCAAATATGCTTCTAGAAACACCACCTTTGCTGGTCTTCCTTGCAATATTGACAGACATATCCTCACAAAAAAAAAAAAAAAAAAAAAAAAAAAGGCGCTATTCACACAACTTTAGTTACATCTAGGAGACTCCCTACAGGCCTTAAGACTCGGGACTTTTTCATCAATTATACTAGGGTTTTGCCACTGCTGCAACATATGCGAGACAGTTTCAGCCAGCTCCAAGTGACTTGGCTCCATACCACAGGTCCTATTATCTCACAGCACAGCACCATGTTAACATGCCTATACCGTGCCCGCTTCCAGAGGAGGCATTGCCACATGATCCTGAGCATACAAACTAATTTGGCACTACCTGCTGTAAGAAGAGGGTCCTCTCTAAGATGGCATCGCCTTGCTTGGTATAAATACATATTTTGAACCACGCATTTTCTGATTTCATTACTTTTATACACAATCTCTTGAGACAATATCTTTGTCAAGCACATTTTGTGCAGAAATCCCTCTCTTGGTGTATCATAGAACAGTGTTGGGGCTGTGAGACGTTCAGTTGAGCATGAAACTGAAATTGAGCCTGTGTCTCAGGGATTTCCCACCTTTTCCTCACAACTTCTGTATCTGTCATCCTAGTGCTTCCTCTCATATTCAGTTGAGGATTAGGTTGTTCCCACCAGGTGTTAGCCAGAAAGAGCAGCTTTACATCCTAGGCTCTGCTTAGCTTCAGATGAGTTTTTATATCTGAATCTCAACTCCAGTCCAAATCTGTAGGTTGTGCCTCTCTGAACATCTCCAGATAACAACAGACTCAAATCAGAGTCCAAGTTAATTCTTTAGGGTGACTTCTGCTTTTTAAAATGAAGTGGGTTAAAATATTTCGTATTGTGAATATTTGGAAGACACACAGAACAGCTGAAATTTTATTTACCTGTCTTTTTCAAAGCTCATCAAAATCTTCTTAGCATAAACACTGAAAAACAATTCAACCAAAAAGTGTAAGAAATCACAATAAACAAAGAGTTCCTGTCGTTCTTCATCATCAGATAACGTTGTTTCTAACATCAGGAATTTGGTGCAAGTGCTGAACAGTAGAACGATCCTCTACTGGAAATCACATTGTGACATTTTTGGTATCCTCTACCAAGTGGTATGCAAATGCTAAATGAAATTTAGAGATGTTTAAAAAGACAAAGATTAGTTTCTTAAATAATTTATTTGGAATATATTAGATGTTAAATAACGTCATATAGCCCAAAATGTGATCAGTTACACCATATTTGTTCATGATCATACAGGCTAGAAACCCACAAGACATGAAGAAAAAACCTGATCAAAAAAAAAATCTTTGGTACATCGATCTAGTCAAATACATGCTGAACATGACAGTAGTGAGCTCCTAAATGGAAAGGAGAACAAAGAAAGCACTGGTATGAACAAAAACAAAAACAAGAGGGAAGATTTTTAGGATAGAATATGTAACAAGCATGTTACATTACAAAATTGCCAGGTTTTCTTTCCCTTTCCCTGGGCAAAAACTCTGCTTACAAGACGTTTTGGCTTTCCTTGGTGACGTGTGTTCCGCCGGATAACAAATGGCCGATAGACCAAGTAGCACCACCACACCTCGCCTGTCAGTGCTCTGATTTACTTGGACTAATTTACCCTGCTGCAACTCCCAGCGAGTCAAGAGAATGCTAGGAGGAGGACTTGGCTCATTGCCTTTGAGATGCTGTGCAGAAGAGGCGGGGAGAAAGCAATATTAATTTCCCAGACTGTGCAAAAGGCTCTTAGTGCGTTTCCACTCAGCTGCTCTCCAGTGCAGTCCTCAGCCCTGATTGCTCAGAAATGCAAGGATAAGCAAGCTGAAGATTAGCAGTATTCAGAAACAAAGCAAAATCGCCATGAACACTTTCAGCTTTCTTTTTTTTCTTTCTTTCTCTTTTGGTCAAAATCGGTCCACTGGCACGCCTGTACCCTACAGCACCAGCCCTGGATGGGGTGAGCTATGTTCCTGTCAGACCCTGGTCTTCCTCAATGCACAGGACAGCCTAGGACATGCTTAGCAGGAACCAGCCCTGTTTTCTTTGGTGAACCTGGTAGTTGGTGAGGCTTTAAAAGGCTGCTCAGTTTTGGGTCAAAAATCCCCTCATGCAGAAGGGCTCCATGTGTTACATGCACATACCCTATCTCTGCTTCCTGAAAGCAGCTCATTGTCTCCTGAATAAACAGAAACTGCCTAGGGACATGCCTTGGCACATGGGAGCTCCATTTCTTCACCAATGGTGAACAGTTTTATTCTAAGCATTGAAGTGTACCTTGGTCCACATGGAAATCAAAAGGATCTGTGTCAGTGGGAGCAGGATCTGACCAGGAAGCAGTTCTACTTATGCCTGGTGTTATTTTTACTGTTGCTCTAGGTAGTTTTATAACATCCACGAGCAGTCCAGACCTTTGCTGGTGCAGGTTATAAATCAATCAGGAAGTTAAACTGATTTGCGGGCAGCAACCCACAATGGTCACCTGCATGAAACTTTGTTTCATCCTGCTTATCATTTAAACAACTACAGCACAGGAACTGACCCACTGAATCCAGTGGAAGACATTTACATCTATTTCTTTGTCCTTCCTCCATCAGCTTATTTGGGATGGTGTCCAGATGGCGGACCGGTTGGATGAGGCTTTGAGCAACCTGGTGTAGTGGAGGGTGTCCCTGCCCACAGCACTGGGGTTGGAAATAGATGATCCTTGAGGTCCCTTCCAACCCTAACCATTCTATGATTCTATGACCTTCAACTACAGCAGGTGAAAGTGGGAAGTTTAAAGACAGTCAGCTGGGTAAACAGGCAGCATGCCCCGAGTCTTGTCCATGGTCTTGACACCCTGTCTGAGGCAGACATCAACCCAGCTTCACACAGCCCAGCGTCACAGCCCAGCGGTCTTACAGGTGACAGCAAGGATACGTGCAGCCTGGTTCTGTCTCCCATGGCAGCAAAAGCAGGGCTGGTTCAGGAACTCCATGCCCAAGACCCATGGCATACAGGCCTGTGACAAAGGGGCACCGCAGTGCCCAGCACCTTCTGCCAGGCCCAGGCATGCTTCAGCTACTTCTGCACCCTGGCATGGAAAGAAGCATCGCTCGCTGACCTTTCCATGAAGGCTTTCACAGTGCACCACTGAGGCCTTTCTTCTGGGGCCTCCCTCCCAACACAGGACCTCCCTCCCAAAACAGGACTTCCCCCATTGCTACAGCTGTAGAAGAACAAAGACCCTTAGCCACCAACCCCTTTGATGGGCTTTTAAGGCAGCTGGAGCATAGCTGGCCAGCTTCCTTCACACACGCGCTGTCACTGCTATGGAGGAGGTTTACTCTGGCTGTTGAATCCACTGAAACTCATCTATGACTATCGTCTTCTTTGACTTTAAATTGGGATTTTTGCTTTAATCTAACACTTAATTTTGTTTAATAGTGTTCTGCTCTGACACTAGGGATCCTTCCAGTCTGATGGAGAAAGATGCAGCCAGGTTCAAGGGCTCGACTTGTCTTCTCAAAAAACAAGAATCAAGCTGGAAATAAGATTCACAAGCTCAAGAGTAAGTGCGATTAGCCTGTGGAACCACTGGTGGAGAACTGTGGCAAACATCACGTCTCTCAAAATCTTTCACTACCGAGGCCAGATGTCTGTCTTGGACAAATTTTGTGGTGCAGTCATCATTCCTGAGCTCAGTACTGT